AAGGGTAAGGAGATGCAGACAGCAAAGTCAATCGATATTCGGCTTTTCCCAAACCATCCCAAATAAGAGACTCTTCAGTCAATATTATGACAGCCGTGATGGAAAGGAAAGCATACAAGACCAAATGATCTGCAAAATGGAAAAACCCAGTAGTCAATTCTCTGTGGATTTCTGCTCTAGGACCCTCATTTTGTTTGGAAAAATATATTCATTCACTTTTATCTTTCCTTTATTCTTCCCAACAATACTACAAGGCAAGAATTACTCTCAGATTAACAACTGTAGCTGAGTGATGTTCAATAAGCTATTCAACCAAAATCATCCAACACATAAGTTTCAAAGTCAGGTTTTGAACCGAGTTTTGTCCAGGAACAAATACAGTGCTTTTAGAATCATGAAAGAAAAGCCAGAAAGCTTGTTTTCACCTCAGGGCCTTTGCACTTGCTGTTCCTGCTATTTGGAAACCTCTCCACCCGGATCTTCACATGGGAGGGTCTTACTCTGTTACTTCATTTATGTCACCTACACAGAGAGACTCTCCCTAATCACCTGTTTAAAATAACACACACACAACCCTAATTACTCTCTAAGCCCCTCACTGCTCAAAGTGAGGTCCAGGGATCAGCAGTAGTAGCAGCATCCAGGAGTTGTTTAGAAATGCAGAGTCTCAGGCCCCTCAGCCGAGCTGAATCAGAATCTGCATGCTAACAAAATTCCCAGTGATTCATGCACAACCAAAGTTTAAAAAACACTACACTACACATGCATTGCCCAACAGAAATACAAAGTGAGTCACAAGTATAATTGTAACATATCTGGAAGCCACACTGAAGAGGTAAAAAAGAAGTAAAATTAATTTTAATAATATATTTTATTTAACTTAATATGAACGATACAATTTCAACATGTAGCCAATATGAACTTATAAATGAGCAACTTAGCATTCTGTGCATTTTATACTTACAGCCCATTTCAGCTCAGACATTTCACATAATCAACAGCCATATGCAGACATTAGCTACACCATACTGGACAAAGGAGCTCGGGCCATCAATTCCTTTATTTTCCTTTGTAGTCTTTCTCACCACCAAAATTTTTACTGCATATTATTTGGCTTGTTTGTTTGCTGTCTTCCCTACACAGCTATTAAAATGTCAGTTCCAAAAGAACAGATGTATCACCTGTCTTACTCACCACTTTATCCCCAGGTCCTCATACAGTACAGGGCACACATAAATATTTATTAAATATCTGTTGAGTGAACAAATTAATAAAGGCTATGACCTTTCTTGTACTACATGTGTGGCAGTGGTTTGTAGGGAAAGGAACCAGCACTTTAAAACCGTACAGCGAGTTCAAATCTCAGTTCAGGCACTGACCAACTAAGAGGCCTTGAGTCAGTCATTCACGCTCTGGGTACCACCTGCAAAATGGAATTTCGGCTATTTAACTCACAGAATCATCATGACACTCGAATGGGATTATAACAGGTCTGTAATTATAGTGCCAACCACCGCAATGGCTGGCACTCAATAAACACCAGTGCATTCAGTCCTCCTCCATTCTCTCTCCAGACACCATGTGCAAATAATGCTGCCGGCCACTGACCGCCTTCCCCTGGGTAGCACGAGCATGAGTTTTGAGAGCATTTTCCTGGGCAACTTTCCCCTAGCCAATGGGACGTGTGTATTAACTGCTGATAATGCAGACAACTTAAAACCATGGAAGATCGCTTCCCATCACCCTGAAGCCAAGTGGATTCCCATGAAAAGTGGTCACAGTTACTATACAGTCTGTAAACCACGAGAGAGAAAACAGCTCAAGTCATCTCTGTCACTTTGATGAGTTCTGCAGTGGCAGCCAGTTGGCCTGGCCTGAGATCCCATCCCTTAGAAGAGTTTAAAGTCTCTGCCTAGACAGCTTGTATTAGCTCACACTGAAAGGTGCATTGTGGCTTTGCCCTTTAGTGGGGAGGGAGAAGGAGAAAGGAGTGGAGAGTTTAATCTCACCTGCTTTATTAATCACTGGCCTGTGTCAATCCATCAAGGGAGGCTTGCTTCTCTGTAGATTTTCACACACACATACTCATCCATTAGTCTACCCTTGCTCTGAAAATCTGATGCACATGCTCTAAGCTCAAATGTGTTTTTACATCACATTAGATCAACAGCATAGGAGCAAAGCAAAACCCGGATTTACAGATAACTGGAGTGACACCCAGGGAGGCAACACTGCTAGGGCTGTTTAGTTGAACATGAGGAAACCCCAAGCCAGCTGTGCTGGGAGCAGCCCCAATATCTTCTTGACTCTCCCTCTTGCTAAAAACATAAAAGCTGGAAACACTTGCAGAATTAGTAGGCTACTTGAAGCACACTTAAAAAAATAATAAATACATAGGAGAACAACTCAAAACCTTTAATTAACCTGTAGATCGCTAATCAGGTAAATAAATTCCGGACAGCATTCCCAGTATTGGAATGCTGCTATTTAAGCACAGATGCCACCATTTGAAAGATTCAGAGTTGCACAGGGAAACCAAGAGGAAAGGATTCTGTTACTGGTTTGAACCAATGCCACTGTTTCCTTTTCTATAATATAGTGAGAATGTCATTCCCTCTTCCTACATGGAAGACAGAGAAAGAGAGGGGATCTGAAGAGATGGAACTAATGAAAATCTCACAAATGCCTTAAAGCATGACTGTGATAAGGCTGGAGAGCTGTACAGGGCAGTGTCAGCACCCTCAGCTCCTGCGTGTCCAAGGGGTTTCTAGGAGTCTTCTCAACAGCAAAGTGTGGGTGGCTAACAATTTCCTCTCTATGCTAGATAGCACATATTGGCAGGAAGCTTGTTCTTAAGAGAGTTTCTCATCCAGTACTTTCAATCTGCACCACTGGACAAGATGCTGGGGCAGGGATCAAGGACACAGAAATATCACATGGTTCTCTAAAGTGAGGATCACGGGAGCCTTGTTCTAGCCACACTGCTTCAGTTTAACAGTTCTGTGGCTGACTACCAAATACTGACACCATGCAACAAATACCACAGGCATTGATTGGGAGTAGAAGACCGGTTGAACTACAGCGCTGGAGTAATATCTTCGGAAGCCATGTCGAGCAAGGTAGTTTATATACCTTCTTTTCCCAGCACCAGTATAAAAGAACCTAAGAAAATCTGGCATCTTCTATCCTTTCCTTTAGAAAACTCCCAAGACCCTAGGAGGGGACTTCCTTGTATACATTCCACCACTTACCCTTCATTAACTTTATGTTAAGTCCTCTGAATAAAACATCCCCTTCTCTACTTCCAGCTGCCACAAAGCAACCCAAACACATGCTGAAAATATTTTATCTTTATGCTTCCCTTAAAGGGCATTTGACACTTCCTACAAGATACACAGTTTTAAAATTAGAATTAGAGGAAAACCCCACAATTACTCTCATAGAGCCAAAGCTACCCCACAGAAGAAACCAGAACATCCCTACAACCAACAACTAAACAACTGAAACCTTTCCAGACATCATACCCCTTCTTTATTTTGCTGTTGTTGCATTAATCATCCTAACACCCTTTTAATTATAATCACGAACTGGAAGCCATGGCTTGTGATGTTATAAATACTGATTTTCCAGTTAAATTAGGCATTTGCTGTTTTATGTTTTGATAGGAAGGGGCTGTTTGAAGCCTCCTAAAATACTGCAATTAGTTCTGTCTGTTGAAACAGACAAGACATTAACAGACACATTTGCTGTTTCAGTGTAATGTGCTGGAATGTTTATGCCTAAGTGTACTTCTCTCAAGCTTTTAAAGCACACGGCACATTTTTTAAAGTGGAAGAAATCAATCACAATACACACATTTATTATATATTTCTGAAGTGAAATTATTTCTAAAACTTTCCCAGGCTGTAATTTAAACCTAGAAAGCACATCTTTTCAACAGGAAGGCGCCCTGTCAGGAAACAATCCTTATTTTACCTATTGGCTCCATGGAGATGATAACATCACTTTAGCTGACAAAGGCTGTGTTTCTGTTTGACAATTGCAATTAATTATTGAAGTGCAATGGAGACGGGCCAGCCATCCAAGAGGGAAAGAACAAGCGAAGGAGCCTTGCACTTTGGGCATCTGCACCAGTGTTGCTTTAAATGTGATGGCTGGCAAGAAGACTGGATTACTCATTTACTTTACCTATCCCTAACTTTCTAGTTCTCGCTTCTCCCTTTTCCTCACCACCGGCAGAAAAGGAAAAGGAAGGAGATGAACATCCGAGACACAAGCTCCAGTCTTTTGCGAAGGAGGCGCAGATTAGAAAGGGCGCGCTGTGCAGGGCATAACAACTCTCAGGGCACCAACTGTCAGGAGGACACGGAGGCTCCCGATGCAAAATCAACTCAGCGTCCATTCAGCCAGTGGGGGCAGAAAGTTACCGAGGTGAGAAGCCTCCCGTCTTGACTAGAATGCCAAAACGCCAGCGCCGTCTGTCTCTTTAACTGTCCCCCTATTCATTTTGCTCTGACCTTAGCATCCTAAAGTTGGATTCCAGCCACGCAAATGCGTTGGAGGGTGATTTTGAGAGATTCGGGGGATCTCAAAGCCCCTTAGTCAATTTAGCTGTCCTGTCGTTCCGCGGAGTCCTCAACACACAGTCGCAGAGCCCCGCCAGAGCCTGGGCTAGGACACACCTGGGCTAGGGCACGGAGGGCTGGGGATCCCCAGGCTTGGGGCTCGGCAGACTCAGAAAGCCCCTCCATGGATGAGGAGCCTGAGGCTGGGCAGGACGACACGTCCTCCCTCCCCTCGCCCCGAAATAAAGTGATGTTCAGCGGGAGTCCTCCCAGCTGCTCCCCTTGGGCAACGCCGCCAGGGTTCCTGGAGCCCGGAGCCCTCGCGGGGAGCCCTCGCGGGGGCTCGGGGCTCTCGGGATGGTGCCCGGATTTCGCAGGGCGTGGGAAGCCGCGGCGTCCCCTCCGAGTCGCCCCCATCCCGCCGAGCCCCGGGTCCTACCTGTACCACTCCAGCCCCTTCTCGTAGTTCCTGTCGAAGAAGTGCGGCTCTACGCCCACCGCCCTCACGTCCGGGTGCACTCGGATCGCCTCCAGCAGCGCGCGGGTCCCTCCTTTCTTGACCCCGATGATGAGAGCCTGGGGCAGCTTCTTCTCCCCGTAGTCGGGGGTGCTGACGGCGCCGCCCCTCTCGCTGCTCCCGTTGGCCGCCCTCCGGCCTGCGAGCTCCTCGTCCGTGGTGCTGGACTCCTGCGCTTCCCTCTCCAGCAGCGCGCTCTGCGCCGTGATCATCTCGCTGGGGGCCAGCG